AACATGTGAACACTCATCTTATTAGGCCATATGATGGCTCGGTAGGCTATGACTACTAAATGGTATTACCACCAATAAATGGCAACTACAACTTGTCAACTAACAAAGCAGTGTCAACCACCCATTCTATTTTATGTCTAATAGGAATTATACATTATATTAAATCTTGCAAAGCTCATAAATGTTGCATTTGCTAGAAGCATAAAAGGCATTAACAAGAGTGTTAGGCACCATATATAAGATAAGGATTCAAGACCAAAGAATGAAATTAACTCGACATTAAAACAACAATTAGATACAAGATAAGAAGATCCTAGCTATACCACAAGAAATGAGTTGTCAAGATTTAGGATTCCCTCAACCTTGACTCTTGTATATACTAGGTTCTAAAAAGCTTCTTAAGAAATTTCTATGAGGCTTGAAAACAAAGTAAGCCTAAGATCTTTCTTCAGTAACTTCTTAAATCATCTAAAGCCTCTTAGAACCTTCTAGGACCTCCTATGACCTTCTAGAACTTTCTTAGAATCTACATGAACCTTCCAAAATCTTTTGGAACCTCCTAAAACCTTCACGAGCCTTCTTAGAACCTACAAGTACCTTCTAGAATCTTCTGGCACCTTCTAGAACCTTCTAGAATCTTCTAAAATCTTCTAGAACCTTTTGGAATCTTCTTCAGTTGTATATCCATGACAAAGAGTGACAAAGGCCTCTCTCCTACTTTTATATATACTATCTACTTAAAGAATTAAGTAAAAACATTCTAAAGGCTATATAACACATGTCCAACTTGCAAGACATATGTATAAATTTTAGGACGAGTTTCTAAAATAAGTGCCATATAATATAATAATTAAATAATTAATAATAAATAATTAATAATATAAATAATAAATAAATAAAAACTAAAATAATATAATATAATATAAATAATTAACTTAATAACTAATTTAAAATAAATAATAAATAATTTATAATATAAATAATATAAATAATTAACTTAATAACTAATTTTTCAATTTATAATATAAATAATTAACTTAATAACTAATTTTTCAATCTATTAATTTTTTACATATACTTGTAAAGTCAAAATTACATCATTAAAGCTTCTAAATAGTTTTTTACTAAGATATTATTAATTTAATTTATTTTTATTTAGTTCTAATTAATTCTATTTATTCTACTTATCTAAATAAATATAATAGTAAATATAGATGTCTATTATATTATCCATTTTTTGAAAATAAGTTCACAAAGATCAATATAATTATATGATAAAAAAATCCAATATGTAGAAAAAGAAATTTGCTACAAACTTTGATTTTTTTTTCTACTAAGATATTTAATAGGCTATCTCAGCCATCAACAATATTTTATATCAAGGTAAGAAAGCAACCTTGTTATTTAATTATTGTTAAGACCTTCATAACTTTCTTCAAATAATGTATTTTGGACTCTATCCAATAATAATTATAATCTTTAATATTATCACCAAACATTAATATTCTATCAAATAGTCATGATGTTAGACATATTATATCTCACCATATATCTAAGAAAAATATATTATCTCTAAGGATCTTTACCTCTATTATGTAGTTGTAAAGATTGCATCAATTTAAGTGGTTTTTTTGTATAACCTTGCAAATAATAATTCTTAAATTAATTATAAAGGTTGTTATTTCTTCATTTTTATGAAATAAAGATCATGCAATAAAACTATACAAAAAATAGAAAAAAAAAAAGAGAGTGAATTCTAAATGAAACCTCTTATATTTTATAATATAAGATCTTTAGAATTTTCATCTTATTTTTGATAGATGTTATTGAGAAAAAAAAAAAACATTAACCTATTTTATTGAGTTTATAAGATTCTTATAAGATTCTTATGTGCATTCACTAATAACATATTTGTGCCAACATATAAGATATTTCAAGCTATTTTGGTATTACCTTGATTCCAAGACCTCTTTTACTTCAAATTCTTGATTATTTTCAACTTCTACTAATGGAAGTAGCAATTGCTTCTTTTGTATATATCCACCATTTCATATAGCTTAAGAAGAGACACAAGGAAAACACGATAAATCTTTATTGACTTTGGTAGATGTAAACAATTTACAATTATATTATTTTATTCACAATTAGAATATATTTCAAGTCTAAAATCTATAAAATATTTATGAAGCTCTTTATTTGCTTATTTAATTTTTATATAATATTTTTGATAGAAAAATAGATATTCTCATTTGTTTACACCTTCTCATATCATTGATAGTAAGTAGTTTTTAAACTTTAGCTAAGTAGAATAGAATAATATTTAATAAAAATTACCATGCAAGTTTTGAAGTCCTTGTTTTAATGTGATTCCAAATAAGTTAGTAACCTTGTCTTCTTTGAATTTTTCATATCTCTTTAGTTTTAATTCATATGCAATAGTATAATTATCTCAGTTAAAAATATTCAAATATCTTATAAAATATAGATTTTTTTAATTTAAGGTTAATTTTTTAAACATCTATTAGATTAATTCTATTACTTTAAAAGACTTTGAATAGAAATGTGGTTGGATAATAATAAGAGTCAAGATTCATTGTAATAAATTTTTGAATAGATTTAATTATTTTACTTTAATATGTTATAATTTTATATAAATTTCTTGAATGTTAAATCTAAAAAAATTAATATTTACAAACTAAAAATATTGGAATAACATTCAAATCAAAGTATAAAATAGAGACTTTGCAAAGGCTCTACTTTTGATCTTATTTTAATAAAATTTTAAATTCCATGTACACATAAAAATATTGAATCTATATTGGTCTAAAATATAAATGATAAGAATAATTGATACATTTTATATGCATCTAAATTGTTAAATTTAATTAAGAAGAATCACATCACAATCAGATTAGAAGCATTAGCAATAGTACATACTCAAGATTCAAATAATAAGATAATAAGTCAATTTTTTGTATAATTAGATTTTTTAATTTGATTGAAAAATACAATATCATTTTTAAAAAGTATTAGTATTATCATGTAATTTTTAAAAACCCAAAAATTAAGTAGGTTTTATGTAAAAGAATTTTAATATTTGTTACCACTTTCATCATTCTTAAATTTAATAATTTGAAATTAAATTTACTTTAATGCCCCAAACTGTTTTGGTGGTTAAAATTTCATCTTTGTATTTGAAAAACTTAAATGCTTGAACCATAACACTTAAATATTATAAGAATCATGCATCATGATATAACCTACTAGATTTTGTCGTTTGAAGAAGAAAGTTAATTCTATAAACTTAAATTTGAATGAGTTCTTGGTTCTTAGCCTATAATCTGATGTTATAATGCTTGCTAGTACCCCACTAAAGTAGTATTATATGATCAAATGTCACATCTTTTCAGATTCAGCACATGATACCTGGTTCAAATGTACAATTTCATATATTGGTGATATATATATATATATTTATATTTATTTATATATATACGCACACATATATGCATAATGCATGTTATATTCAATAGAATATTCAAAATTAATACACATGTATAATTTAAGTTTGAAAATTTTATATGTTTATCATGAAATTTACATGGAATCCAAACAATTTAGCCATGTATGAGAGTCAAATTAATGTATTTATATATTTATGTTACACTTTTATTAATTTTACGTCAATTTTTTATCACATTAAATTTAACAATACCTCAAAGACACGATACAATCAATGTCTACTTCCCACATAGATATAAGATAATAACTGGCAAAAGTAAAATTACAGTTTTATTAATTTTGTTACAAAGCCATATGTAATACATGTTGAAATCCTATGGTAATATAACATAGAAACTTAGATGGTTTTTTATTTTACTTTATTTAGTAGTACTATTTCACCATTTTTAATAACTACTTACAAAATTAAATAATTTGAAATATTTGTGCTCATATACATATTTATATATTTATATACATCAAACATATAATTTCAAATTTCAAATTTCAAATCCATAAAAGCCATGTTACTAGTTCATTTTATTTCAGTACCAAAAATGAATCTTCCAAACAAGCCTTTGAACCCTAGACCGAAAATCTATTAACCAAAACACCAAAAGAAATATTTACACAAGTATCAAGACCGAATGAATATATTAAGCCAAGTTCAGAGGCATTACATTTTTATTTCCCTAAAGTGATTCATTTGTGTATTCTTCCACAACATTGAATAGATCACAGTCTTCCTCCGCCCACTAACAAATGCAGCAACTGTGGTAGTTTCAGACAACATCACACTCAAATTCCACCTTCGAGGTTTCCATCCCTCACAGAAACAGATCCCGAAGCGGAAACAAACTGAACAAAGTTCAGTGTCAGTTTGTACACTCTACGCCCAGACGCCCAATCCATCCAGACGTTGAGTATGTTCATGATCCGTTTCGTTTTCTAATGGGAATCACAACCGCTTCACTCCACAAGGAACCCAAGTCGCCGAAATCGACGAGGTCGTTACCATCGCACCGAAGGCTGCAGTGCTCTAATCTCGACCGTTTTGCGAATACAGAAAACCTGCCCCGTTAGCAACAATTGTGATAGAACGAGGGGCGTTTGTATGTTTTTTTCGCAGTGATGGCTACAAGGATTTGAGCTTCAGCAGGGATCGGGTTCGCGGAAATCAATCTGTGGTGTCTGATTTCACGGTTCATCCATTCGCGGCCACGAGAGTGGGAAAAAGTATCGCGACACTCTCGTGAGAATCCTAAAAGTAAAAGTGACTCGTTTGTATGGAGGAAACGTCCAAATGTTCGAATCCCACCTGGCACATGCACGTCCCCGAGTGAAGGTGCATTTCTAAACACAACCCAATCAAACATTCCTTTGATTGAGGCTCGGGGAACGATGTGAACGATGGGAACCTCAGGGGCACGGCCCTGGGGGTCCATTAGAAGGGGTTGGGGAACAGCGAGGGGGGCCAGCTAACGGCTCTCTCACGAAATTCAAAATTTGGGAGCTGGCGACCGTTGTGGAGGTTCTGGTTATGGCGTGTGTGCCATACCCTCTCTCGCAATTTCATTGTGCTCTTTCCGCCGCGTCTAGAGTGTCTCTTTTCCCCTCCCACTTCCATCTCCACTTCGATCTCTCTTCTGTGACGAACCGAACAAGCCACGCATGTCGCCCTGAGGTGCTGTTCAGCGACCAATCGAATCACATTGTGCAGTGTGAGCTCTGGTGTAACGGCAACGTCGGAGTTGTGCCATGGCGAGGATTTGAGACCGGCTGTATTGCTGAGGTGCTGCCTCTTTCTCTCAGAGCTCCTGGTATTCCACAGTTCTTTCGTTTTCGAATTGTAGTAACAGGAGTTGAGATGAACGTGGTGCGCGTAGTTTCGGCTGGTGCATGGAGGTCACGGTCCTTCTTACTCTGCTCTCTCATCTATCAGGGTTGCGGTGCTCCTCTTCTCTTCAACCGTGGTAGTGCAACCGTGTAATTGCACTCTGTTCTGGGTTAGCTTGGCTTTGCCCCGCTGTCGTTGTATTGGTCCCCAATGGTAGGTAATCACGTTGTGGTCGTTACCATTAGCATTCTTCATTGCAAGAATGGCACCAGTCTCCTAACTTGCACACTCGTCTCAGTCATTCCATTCTGCCCAAGTCGGAGTCAAATTAGATGTTTCATACAGTCTCCACCGACGCCGCTATACTTTCTCATGTGGAGTGCATTGCTCTTTGACTGTCTCTCAGATTCAAGGACATTACTCTCATTGGATTTTGAGGCTTATGACACATTTTTTTTCTGTGTATAAACGCAGGGACCCTGCCCGCCCCTTTCGTAATGTAACGGATTGGATAGCATCACGTGGAGACACCAGCTGAGAATTTACTTGGGCTAATGTTTAAAGCTCCCTCCCCTCTGCTTCTACCCTCACGTCCCTCCTCTCCTGCTCCAACTTCGGAAGGACCTATGTCTGCAAACAAGTCAGATCCACCAATCAGACAGCTAAGTAACCGCTGGCCGTTCTTTAGTGAGGGCGAACTCAAGTGGCTCCTATCCCCCAAGAAATCAGCCTACAGCGAAGACATTGAAGCTCACATGGTTGCGTCGATGGATTCTACCATCGAGGAAGGTAAAAGGAAGGTTGAGGGTGAAATCGAAAGTTGCCCGGGACCGATGCCTAGCGAAAGCCCGGTAGCCTTCTCCCTAGACGATAAATTAAGCTGGAGAGAAGCGGGTGTGGGGGGGAAAAGTCCGACTGAGAATACATTTGCTTCCCTGGGTGATAGGTTCACCAAGCTTGGAATACAATGTAGCACTGACATAGGCCCCCTCGGTCCACGATCCTTGCTCTTTCAAGACATAGCTGTGACCTCTGTAGCAGACAAAATGAAGGACTCTCATGCTGTCACTACAATTAGCACTGCAGACTGCAGTCCTGGAGATGCAACTCGCAGCTCTGGGGACACATCAGGAGTTTATCAGAATTCCGGTAACCAAACTAATCCCTTTCTCACTAACTCGTGTGAAGAAGGGCAAGAGTCGTTTGCTGGCAAGGACACCCAAGGTGAAACCTCAAGTATTGCCGGAAACGATTTGACTCCGACCACTGAGGGTGTCCAGGAAGAGATACCTACTTCTTCCGACCACCATACCATACAGAACCACCCTCTATCCAAAGAGGGTGATCAACAAGAGTCTTCAGACGTGGATGATGAAGATGAAGAAGAAGAGATTATGAACAGTTCTGTTAAGAGGATGAGTTTTGCTATTCAGGACGGGAAGCAAATGCCAAAGTTCTCAGCAGGTAAAGAATTAAACTTGTGCCTCTCTCAAATAAGTTTCAATTTCTCTTGTACCTGTACAGCAATAATCTCTGCGACTTACCGCTAATGGACAACAGTAACACACTTGCAACTTCTACTGGCACCCTAAACCAAATTTACTACGATGTTGCTCTTCGGATCCTGCTTAGTGTCCTTTCCTTCACCTACAGATGATGTTGTCCTCGCAATTAACTGCGGAGGGACGTTGATCGAGAATGAATCTCATGGAATTAGTTTCGAAAGAGATGAATACTACACTGGTGGAGATGTCCTGAGAACTGAAGAGGAAGTCACCGGAGTACACGGTGCAGGCTTGTACCAAACCTCGCGTTACGGGAATGTCTCTTATGTCTTTAAAGAGTTGCCAATTGGAAACTATGTGGTGGATCTACACTTCGCCGAGATCATATTCACCAACGGTCCGCCAGGAATGCGTGTATTCGACGTGACCATCCAGGAAGAGAAGGTACGTACAACCGAGTCACATGCTTCGCGGGACTTTTCATCGATTCCAGCAACTTTTAGATTCTAACGGATTTCTACGTGCAGGTTATAACTGAGCTTGACGTGTACGAAGAAGTGGGATCTAACAACGCACTGATACTTAGTGTTAGTACGTCAACAGCGGACGGTAATCTGACAATTACATTCGAGGGCGTGATTGGTAGTCCTTCGATCAGTGCCATTTGCATCCGCACAGGCCCGCCTTCAAGTACGCAGTCTCGTGCCTATCATTGTGTAGTTGTTTCATACTTATTTACATCGCAATTCATTCAAACTAGTTACAGATTCTTGGACCGACATGTGCGCGGATGTGAAAGCTCTGGAAGAACTTGAGTCTCAAGTAACACTCTATGGGTGAACAGAAATAGTGTACCCACTCCATGGACAATTTTTGTCCAACCCAGAACTCAGGCTGTTAAACATAGTGTCGCTTACCGAAGACTAATACACTTCGTTCACATCTGGTTGTCACAGGCTGTCCTGCAGGTGCTCGAAAATCTGTGGCGTCCAAGTCAATGATCGAAGATGCTGGAGCTACTGCGCCAGACTCCGAACCTCTAGGCTACGAGCAGGAACTGAATCGGAAGGATGCAAAAGTGCGCCAGCTTCCCGAGCAGAAAGCTCGTCGCCATAAGGTTGGGCCTCTGTCTAGTCGCAACTGGCGTCCTATCTAAATTCTGCATGTGAACATGCCTGTGCGAGACATGCGATGTATTCTCTGATCTGTTCATTTTCTCACGCAGGCGAAGAAAAAGACCCGAAAGTCTGAGTATGAAGCCAGACTGAAGGAGCTGATGGACGAGTGTCATGAGGCTTGGATATCCCTTCAAGACACCAACCGTATGAACGAAATGTTGCGGGACGATCTGTGTGCCAAGTCGCTCTGCGTTGATTCCTTGGGTATGTGAATTTTCTGTTATCCCTCTTGATACTGTGCTGGTACGTTTTCCATGTTTTCCATGTCTTCGAGATGAGTACCTATAAACGAATTGAAGGCTGTGGGCTAATTAACACACTTGAATCAGCTACTGCGGTGGAGACTCAACTCAGCGAAATGAATGCTATCAAAGAGCGAGCCCGAAATGAGAAGCAGAAGTGGTTAACCACAATATCCAAAGCGTACAAAGAGATCATGGTGCGTGAGTCGTTCATATATTTTCCTTTACCTGCAGAATGGTCTTGCTTGTTAAAGGAAAACAGTGTTGGTCCCCACGAGTCTAACCAGAAGGAAATGTGCAGGTTCTGAAAGAAGAGCAGCGTTTACTATCAACCAGGACGAAACAGTGGGTTGCTTCCTTTCCCGACCCCACAGTAATGACAACATCCGTTCGTTCCCTATGTGAGCCTATCACTTCAGCCATCAGTTCGTCTGTTTCATCCACATCCCACTGTATTCATTATCTGGCAGAACACTGATAGCCGATTTTTCTCTCTACCATTAATACTGGCTCGATGTCTGATGCGAGGCCAGTAATCGTCTTGTGCAGTGAATGAACACCAGGATTTGCGAAAGAAATATGCGAACGAGTGCTACGAGCGTAAGCAACTCTACAACAAGGTGCTCGAGTTGAAAGGTGCGGTTTGGATCATCTTCAGAGCATGGTACAGCAAATAAGTACTATACTTAAATACTATTTAGGACCTCCATTGCACAAAGCCCTGATCATATTGTTGTGCGCAGGAAACATTCGGGTTTTTTGTCGCTGCAGGCCACTGAGTCCTGTAGAGGTTGCAGCTAATGCCTCTTCTGTAGCCGAATTTGAATCCGCCGGAAACGGTGACATTGTCGTACGTAATGGAACTGCCGGGAAGAAGTTATTTAAGTTCGATCGAGTGTTTTCTCCTCAAGATGATCAAGGTAACCTTAAGATTTCTCTCATGGTGTCTTGTTGCGTCAAGGAATTGTTCTGCTGTCTTTGATAAGGTGCCGATGTTCAATATCTTGCTCTTCGCGACCACACACTAACATGCATCCCTTCACAGCCGATGTATTCGCAGACACAGCCCCGGTGGTGGTGTCGGTTCTTGACGGCTATAACGTATGCATCTTTGCTTACGGACAGACTGGTACTGGAAAGACATTCACTATGGAAGGCAATGTTGCAAATCGAGGTGTGAATTACCGGACTCTGGAGGAACTGTTCAATATCGCTGCTCAACGCAAAGGAGAGACCAATTACGACATCTCCGTTAGTGTTATGGAGGTTTACAACGAGCAGATTCGTGATCTCTTGGCACCTCCTGCCGCTCAAGATCAATCTACTAAAAAGTGAGTTCGAGATCCGTTGTCGCCGAACTTAATTACTTCGTTGTATATCGATCTTAAGTCTTCTTTAAGCTTTCTATCAACGGGCACTTGTGACTTGTATGTGCAGGTTAGAGATCAAGCAGGCAGCTGAAGGGGGTCATCATGTGCCGGGCTTGGTAGAAGCCAAAGTAACCAGTATGGAGGAAGTTTGGGACGTTCTTCAAGCCGGCAGTAGCTCCCGGACGGTGGGCTCTACTCGTGCTAATGACCACAGTAGCAGATCTCACTGGTATGATAATCTAGACTGCCTCACTGCGTATCAATCTTTTCACGAAGCTCACACCTGCCCTCCGATCGTAGCGTTGCTTCAGATGTCGTATAAGTATTGATTGCAACTCTTTTTCCGAAACAGCATGCTTTGTGTCATGGTGAAAGGTGAGAACCTTGTAACTGGAGAGCACACGAAGAGCAAGCTATGGCTAGTAGATTTGGCTGGAAGCGAAAGGGTGGCTAAGAGTGATGCCCAAGGTGATCGTCTCAAGGAAGCCCAGAACATCAACAAGTCCCTATCAGCCCTGGGAGACGTCATTCAAGCACTATCAATAAAGAGCAGCCATATACCCTTCAGGTAATTCTCACCTAAAAACGTGCGGACCTCGTCCATTCAGAGACTTGCGTGATTTGTCACTTGTAAATGTTGTGTATTCCTGAATCTCCTAATCCTTACTCATCCTCTGGCACTGCAGGAATTCAAAACTCACTCACCTTTTGCAAGACTCTCTAGGTAATGATTATGATGCAAGGAAATTAAAACTTTCCGAATTATGCCCGATAATGTGATGTCACAGCTGCAATTCCTTCTTAGATTGATACTGACGACAAATCTCTTGGTGGTCTTTTCCCAGGAGGAGATTCCAAAACACTTATGTTCGTCCAAATTAGTCCTAATGATGCAGATCTCAGTGAGACTCTTTGCTCGTTAAACTTCGCCAGTCGAGTTCGAGGAGTTGAACTTGGTCCGGCCAGGAAGCATTTAGACTCAAATGAGTTATTCAAGTACAAGCAACTCGTAAGACCTCGTTCGACATGTCCAGAATATCCTGGATTTATTCTTTTACAGTCCGCATTTTTCTCCGACTGAAGTTATTCTTTTTTTTTGTTTTTTTTTTTTTGTATGACTAAATTATTGGCTTTTACAGGCGGAGAAAACTAAGCAAGAGTCCAGATCTAAAGATGAGTCGGTTAGAAAACTTGAGGAGAAACTTCAAGCAGCTGAGGCGAAATTGAAAGCGAAGGATCAGCTATGTCAATCCCTTTCCGATAAGGTCCGTCCGTCTTCCTTGCTCCCCTCCTAATCGATGTTGAGTAATTAAGTCGACGCTAATTATTTGAAATGGTGGCTACGTGTTTCGATTCCACTAACGTCCACTCTTGTCCCTCAGGTAAAGGAGAATGCGGATGCTGATACACAGCTTGTGAATGAACGACGAGCCCGTCAGACCGCAGAAGCGATGTATCGTGAGCTCAAAGCAAATATGGAAAAAATCACTGCAGACTCCAAGTCGTCAATGGATAAACTTGCTGAAAAGTCGGCTGCTGAACTGAGGCAAACTAGAGAAGCGCTTGCTGCACTTGAAGCGAAGCAAGCAAGGGAGTCAACTGAACTGGCACAAGCTAGGGACGCACTGGCAGCGGAACTGAAGCAAACAAAGGAAGCGCTTCACTCTGCATCCGCTGCCCACGCTAACGAAGTCTCAAGGTTGCTCCAACAGTTGCAGCAAGCAAATGAGACTCGCACGACGCCAATGCAACAGTCAACCCCATCAACTGTCCTGACTGTATGTTCCAATCAGCATTTGCTTAACTGTATTCGCTTCCATTTCTTGTGAATTTTCTGGTTTTCTTCACTCCATTTGCCTTACAGTCTTTCATACTTAATTCCTTAAGGGTATTCAAACGAACATCGAAACAACGCTTCGTCGACCTGCGCTTGTGGAGGCTGGTACAACCCCTCTGGACAGAACGCCTACGGTAGAGTACGTGGTCAAGCCACCGGATGCTACCGAGGTGATGCGCAACAGCTGCACAGGGGAGGTCTTCGGCAATGAGAACGCATGTCCGCAACCAATCAATACTGAAGCTGCAGAAGCTCAAAATAAGGCTAAAGGGATTCTCAAGCAATCCTCCGCTACAAAATATGTCTCCCCCAACAACGCAGCCAAGCGTGTTCTAGGCAAACCGCGTCGGCCAGGATTCGCCGTGAAGCCTCCAGTGCAGGTGGGGTCCTTGGTGCGCCGCTCTCATGACTCTCTGGCAGGCAGTTCAGTGACTGCCTCGCTCTCCGAAGATGAGCTTCAAAGACTTTGTGGAGGATTAGATATGATAGCAACGAGCAACACTTCCACGTTCGATGCCAGTCTCCGGACTCTAGCGCATGTGTTGGAATCCTCCACCCCTACCAGCGTCAAAAGCTGCAGCTCTGTTGCTCGTCCCCCAGCTCAGCCCAAGTCTGTCCACTTCAGGAGCCCTCTTTTGCTTCCTCCTCGTGATGACCTCGAAGTGAAGGAGGTTAACTCCACTCTCAGAGAAACGGAACCGAACACCAGACCTTCAAGCATGAATTCAACCAAAACAGCGAGAAGGACTCTACCTACTCGACCATTGTCGAAAGCTCCTGTCTCGGGCCCTCACCGAGTGGTAGCTGGTCCTGCGAAAGCCCAAGCTGTGTCAGCATTGAGAGAGAAGAGATGGAACTAGCTTTTGTGTGATGCACAACTAGTGCATCTGGTGGCAAGATGTGTACATTATGTGAAAGTGACAACTAGATTAATTGGGCCCTCTGGTTCCATCTCTTCGTATGCAGTATCATTCTAATGATTTTCAAACAGGGGGGCTGCCATTGTATAAATCATAACTAACACATGTATTGATGAGAACTGGTTATGGAATTGATTCGTCCTTACTTTGCCCTTCGATTGCCGTCTTTGCACATGATACCGTGAGCTATCCTAGCTTTGTTACACTTCTTATTGAGGTAGCGAGTCATGACATGAAACTGGGCGTTATTATCGATTTCAGAATTTCCAACATTCTCTGTTCCCATTCACTGCTGACATCTCTAAGAATATGTTTACCTTGATTGGTTACATCATATTGCTGGAACGGAAAAATCGCATCCGTATCCAGGTTTGATTGAGAAAATATATACACTCCCGTTAATAGCCCCGTTTTGTTCTCGCATTCGATCCGCCCAACCGGATGATAAATAACAATGATATTGTCCAACTCCCTTTGAGCGAAGGACAGAACATTTGAACTACTCTGCCCGTTCTAGTCACAATCACTTCCATTACAGTCTGTCACTATTCTGCATCCTTACAATGACCATCACACAATTATGTGAAGACTTGTGTAGTACTGTTTTAAATCTATTTGTATCATTTTAAAATATTTTCATGTCCACAACGAAATCTGGTAGAAGTATGATGTATGTAGAAAAAAATTTCATATTTAATTCCGAAAATTTGGCTACTTTTCGTTCACTCGTACACTGAAAACCATTACAATTTTGGACCGTGTTCCAAATGCCTTAATGTAATTTGCGGCCCATATCTCTCTATTATACGTTTCAATGATTGTTTCTTCTGTACCAATTACAGTTCAAAACTCACTCCTGACAATATACGTTCACTGCTCCATTAAAACAAGATATGTGAAACACATAAGAATCGAAGTAATTTTGTACAATTTGTAATTTTTAGAATTTTTGACGAACGTTCACAGATAGAAATGCACGAGGAAACCCATGGAATGACAATTGAAATGCTCGTCAACAAAGACATTATCTTTTCGACATGTATTATGATTGATATTTGAAATTTAAACTCAAAAATTGAACCTTCCAACAATAAATGTGATATACAACGTGAATGAATGGAGGGGAAATAAAGAATCACTTGGAATCTTCCAGCTTGGAGTCTCTCCTACAAATCAGAAGTGGTCTGAGAAGTTTTAGAGAGCTAAATAAGGCGGAATATAAGAACTTTTGGATAACATAAAATGACGATGTACAACTTTACAGAAAGGACTGGAAAATAGTTTTGTATACCAGATCGCACACATCGCGTTTACAGCAGTAGGGCTTCGGTCTGGTTCATTTGAGGTGGCAAAAATACCCGAACTTCTCTTTCCTCTGAGGCCATGTTATACTTCGGGACCATTATCTCCAGACCAGCACATGCCTCAGCATAAAAAGCCTTTAGTTCTGCAGTCTCAGGAATTCTTGTGGCAAGCCCTATCTCTCGCACAAAATCTCCAGAGGGACAATGTTCTGGATTCGGGTCAGTCAGCTTAAAGGTCCTGTCTCCCCTCACCACTGTTGAAGTCCTGGCTGTGCTGGTACAATGTAACTTTAAGATGCCCTGCGTTGCAGTGTTTCGCCATGAAACCCTAAGCCTTTGCAAGTCTATAAAAGGCAAGCTTACCATAACAAGGTAAGATTTTTCATCCTCGTAAATAGTCTTCGATCCTGTAACAGGTCCACAAGCTTCAGTCATCACTCCTGAGAAACTTGAGAGCCACCATGGTTCCATTCCTGTATGAAAGTTTTCAGCAGCCGCATAGCTGACAACAGGGACACAAGAATCAGCTTCATTGCCACAGGGTAGAAGCCCAGGAGGGAGGGAAGAATCAGCCTTCTTTCTCTTCCCTCCTGGACTCAAACTGCGACTGGCACTACTGGCGGGGCTTGGTAACTGGCTAACAGCATTCACATTATCCTCATTCATTCGTCCCGATCGTGCTGATGCCTGCTTTTTGGAGTACGCATTTGGAGGCTTACTCGGAGGAGATAATGTTCGCTCTAAATCAAAGTCAGTATTCGGAAGACTTCGCCACTCTGAAAACCCTTCAGCATCTGGAGGTATTACAAAATTTATTTCCCTGCCCGTCAATTCCATCCACCGTTTCAAGTCATCCTCACTGGCATTCAACAGGTTTGGAGCCCTGACAACCTCGACACCATGCACACATTGAGGATTCGACAAGCCTCTGTAATGCTTCCTTTGCATTCGGTGGGATCTAGTAAATCCTTTGTCTGCACTGAAAGGGAATTGTGGTTCACCAAACCTTGCATGACCATTCATATAGCTGCGAAGCTGCATCTTTCCTAACGCATTTTCAGGTCTTTCCTTGAAAGTCCACATGTACATGTTTTCCATGTCATGTTGGACTAGGAAGAGGTCCAGTCGCAGATCAGATTTATCCAAGAGGGGTGCCAAAATACCATCCCGTTCAAGCTTCCTCTGATGTTCATCGTTTAATGCAGGTCTGAAATAGTGATTGAAGAAGAACCAGGCTCCCCAGATGGTATCACCACGTCGCACCCATCGCCTTCCTTTGGAAGATATTGAAGTTCCCAATTCAAGATTTTGAGCTGGAGCCAAGCTACTATGCAGCAAGTCCGAAGGCTTTAGACCCCAAGGATCTGGACAAATCTCAATAGATAGTGGCAGATTTATATCTGGTGGTCCTCCCAAGAGCGCCTGTTCTCCATTCTCGCATTCGGTGTGGCCATTGAAATCCATAGGCAGCAATGTCTGCAATGAGAACCTTCGGATGCTCTGAGGTCCTCTTCACTTGGACGTGCTTCCTCTCAAAACCCTGTCGATAACAATAATGAGAAATTATTTTGATCCAATAAATTTTGAACAAAAAAAAAGATCAGCATCCAACCATTCAGACCCCTCACAACATTATATACCAGAGCTGAGAACTTGCCAAAACTTAACGGAAAAAAATTGCCGATGACTTACAGAGGCCATGGAATTTTGAGCTTCAGCTTATTTCTTGCTTCCGGCTGGACACTTGAGTCGAAGTTTGAGTATTACCATCCATCAGCAAGGGCAGCTATTATCGATTCTGCAAAGCAATCTGCAAGAGAATAAACCACCTGGGATCTCCCTTCTTGCAAGAGTTGCACACACAGTGAACTTGTGGAAGACAAAGCCAGGCGAACGAAAATCGGTTTTGACTGGGCACGTTACCCAGACTCCCGCATGTATCAGAACTCAGTCTGATAGCAAAAACCACACAGATGCAGAGACAAGAAATCTTAGTGTTAACGTTACACATCACCAGTACTTCACGAAAATTACACCGCCGTCTTTACAACAAAATCATTACGAGTTCAATATTCGATTCATCAATGTTTTGACCGTGAAAGCGCGTAAAACGCAATTAAACTGGAGCCCTAACACATGGACACCACGCCATTATTACTAATACCGTACTGGAGTTCTAATCGAGATTTTCATAAATTTGAACAAATCACGCACAACTTGTGCAGGCCTGCAGCGCAATCATAGAAACGTTCCACACGGGCATTTCAAGTTCATCACGAAGAACTCAAGCGTTGAACTGATCACAAGGGATAGAAGATACAAGCAAGCTGGAGGGTTGCATTACTAATATAGCATAATCATTGGCAGATGGATGAGTAAGAAAAACCTAAGAACGTCAGACGCAAAGAAAAATGAGAAGTTTCACCAAAAAGAAAATTTCTCAGAAATTGATCAACTCATCTTATCAATATGTGAGCTGAGCCTGGTGACACCAGCGACCACACACAATGACAAAATACGTGTAATCCACAGTAGAATCACCAAGAAGGCAGTCTCATAATATACACTACTTGTGATGGCAGTGAAAAACAAACAACGACATGAAAACGAAACTACCATCAATCTCTTTCCGAGTGTGTAAATTTAGAGCACGAAGTCTTAGTCAATGACAAGATCATTACTCTTGAAAGAAGTCGCCCCTGTGCAACATCTAATATCCTAGAAGAAGCGACTTCCATCTTTAGCAAAAATTTGGCCGCAACTCTCCAATCATACCCACAAGAGCGGGCGTTCGCCCAATGCTCCTGACAGCCGCCAGCAGAGAAACCGAAAAATGGGCTACTCGAGCCAATACTATGAACGAAGATACTTACAGAGGCCATGGATGCTTGTTTCTTTTATCCAGCCTCGAGACTAAGTATCTGCTCGCTCCAATCCTACACGCGAATCTCGCCCGTCACCAACACTGTACCATGAGACCGTCGAAAACTGGCATCGACCATTCCACCTTTACCAGCTGCCAAATCCATAATAAATGCACTTCAAGTGACTCTCAAAACTATCTACGTCTAGTCTGCTGCTGTCGCCCCGCTTATGACTGTAACACTGCTCACAATCCTCAACCTTCACTCGTTCACTCACAAAAAAAACACCGATCTCCTCCTGCGTGGAACTTACACCTAAATCACTCAGAACTCCAACAAGACACAGACCTCATTCAGAAAAAAATTAACACCCCACCCAATGGAAAACAGAGAGGCAGAGCCCGTTCGAAAGTGCACCGCAACGGCAGCTATAAAGGCGGCGAAGGACAGCAACAGCGTGTAGAAGCGCCGAGCCCCCAGGCCTGACAAGCTCGCGCACCTTTATAACCCTCGATCAGAATTTGCGAGGCCTCACTTAGTGAAAATTGGCTCAAAAACTTCAGTTCAACTTCACGACAGGGCACCAACCAACTGCTTCGCGACTAACGACGATACAAGACACGGCACCAGAAATGCGAAGGCGTAGGGTTCTACACCAACACCGAACGGAAGCAATCCTCGGAGACGGCCAGTTCTCGGCCCGCCATAGCCATGTCCAAGGTGACAATTTCCTTCACAACAGCTCGGCTTGAACTATCTAGGTTTTAAACATATTTTCCGTAGACCTGCTTCTCTCTAATAGTTTCGTAGACTCACTGGTGATTTTGGTTCGTTGACGATTCCATCCTGCCTTTTCTTCATCCATCCTTTCACAAATCATGGTCCTCTTCTTAAATTCTTGAAGTGAGTGCACTTTTATCTATTGTTTTTGCATTTAGTTCAAATATTTTTCTTTTAAAAAAATATATGCAGAGGGAGAGAAAATCGTTAAATTGACCCAGGTATTCGATCCACCCATCCTAACCATTACTGGGAAATTTTCCATTGCTGAAATCCAATTAAAAAAAAAAAAAAAAAAAATGCAACCAATGATGATGAGTGGATCAATTTGGTAAATGCTTGGGCCAATTCATCAATTCCTTATAAATATAGAGAGATAAATGATAAAGTGATCCAAATTTTTACTAAATCAATCCACATGTTTAAACCATCATTGTACCCTTTCACCCATGTCTCTATTTCTAGCCATTTCTAGTTGTTCCCTTGTTTCCAACCATTGCCCCATTCCCAACATTCCTAACTCTCTGCCCCCGTCTTTAGTAATGGTTGAGAACAAAGAACGGCTTGGAATAGAGATGGAAGCTGTAAGGATGCAATGATGGTTAAGATAGAGTAGGTCACTTTATCATTCTCTTATATATATATATATATATATTGCATGTCAGATGTTTTGAATAAGTAATCACCATTAAGAATAATTATAAAATTTTTACATAGTAGACAATAAAATGCATACTAATATATGTTATTGTTACATGTGATGAATATAAAAATATGAACTGAAAATGTGTTTTTATTAGAATATGTTACAATCAGTGATTTTTTGAAACTTTTTATTAATTATTATTTCATAAACTAAAAATGATGATAGACAAAATTAATCAAAATATGATAATTGTTATGTTTAAATAAAAATAATGTGCATGCATTAAATAAAAAAATTCTTATTTTTTAAACCTAAATAAAATCATATATGTTTTTATTGATTCTAAAAACACACATGATTTTATTTGCTTCACATGTACTGTATGTTTCATATCCTAATTTCACTAGAAATATAAAAAAAGTATATCAAGAAAAAGTTTAAAATATCAAAAAAGTATATCAATATAAAAATTTGATTTCATATTAAAGAAAAATATAAAAAAGTTGAAAAATGCATTGGAATAAAGCACTTGGGTTCATTTTGAGTATATAAATATCATATATGTTTCCTTCAAAATGCTTGTGATTCTAAATGGATTAAAAAAAATTAGAATAATATAAAAAAACACATACGGTTTTGATTGATTAATATTTATACATATGATATTAAAAAGTTTAGGATTTTTGAAGAATTAGAGACTCTAAGCAATAAAACCTCATATAAAGTCTAGTAATTATCAAATGATATCTTCCTCAGAAAAATACATGCTGGAAAGCATCAAGGACTGATTTTTTTGGCATCAACACAAGGATATAATGAAAGTTTTTACAGTCTTTCAAAAACATTAGCTAGCAATTTTTGATTACAAGATTCTCTTGAAAAAAGGGGATCTTCATAAATAAAAATGATTTTATAAGTAAATAAATGGAAATAAAAACAAAATGTATTTAAAGAAAACCGAGGAATATATAAAGGAAGAAGAAAGGCCTCCCAAAGTCTGATAAAAATTAAACAGTGTATGAAAAAATTGATTCTTTTATCTATTCTTATGGAATATCATAGAGGTAATATGCAAAGTTTTGTGGTATAATCTCACAACAGGGTAGTAAATTGGAAGCTTCTATATATTGAAAATAGGACCTTTAATATATGCCAAGACCTTTAATATTTGCCAAGCTGCTAATATTTGAAAATAGGACCTTTAATATTTTGATTTTTTTTATCCTTCTTAATTTATATATACATGTGTATAAATAAGTTTATGCATTTTACAATAATTTATTATTTTATATAAAATATAAAATAAAAATAAACATTCTATTTAAAGAATAATAGCTAAAAATATTTACATGCATATGTATATATATATATATATATATATATATGTTAATGTATTCTTTTAGAATAAACCTTATATATGAATATGATTCAGGAGTACATACAAATCAAATATTTTTTTTTCATGACCTGTATGATGACATCTAAAAAATAAAATCCAAAAGTCAAGTAACCTTCAAGAGCAATAAAAACACAATGATAGAAGATAAAAATATCCCCCCCCCCCCTCCAAGTAAGTATGAAAAATATGATTATTTTCCAAATCATAAGAGATATTGCCATACATTTTTTTAACAAAAAAATCTTGACATAAAAAGCCTACTTAGGAAAAGTTATGAAACACAAGTACAATATATTTAAGAGTAAATCCTTGGTGGGGGTAAACGAATAGCTTCAAATGTATAACCCGTAGCAAAACGAAGAAGTAAAAAGGGGTAAATCTCTAGTACTTTTTACTAGGCCGAGAGGAAAATGACAAAAGGCGTGGCGAGACTACTTTCGAGACCAGGAAAGGCCTTTTTCGGAGACTGGTTGAATTCTTCTTCTTCGTCTTCTACTTCTGTTGTGTGGAGTTGCAAAGGGGCTCGCAGTTTTACTGTCGCCGTGCGTGCTCCGCATCGCTGCTGCGTCAGGACGATTTCACTACGAGCGGGGTGTCTAATGTAGGCGTAAGCTGTTTTTAGCCTCGCAATTGTGTTCACATATTCTTTATATATTTTAGTCTCGCATTGTGAGTGATGGCGTTGCTCTAACTGCTGTAACTTGTGCGACATTGTAGTGCATTTGGATAGCTTGTGCGCTTGTGGCCATGTCGCCAAGGATTGCCGTGGTTTTGATGCGAGCTAAGTGTTTTTCGATGCAAGATCGACCTTCTCATCCTTTCTCTGGATGCTTTGTTAGTTTAGGAGCAGCGGAAGGAGTTGATGAGCTGGTGAGCGGAGGAGGGAAATCTTTGCTGTGGAGAGGAGATTCTGTTCTGCAGTGGTGTCCGCACAGCGAATTCTAATGTTATTCCATGGTAGAACCCTGCCGTGAGTATTTTATGAATAGGTTCTAGAGTGTGACACGGAAGAGGAGTGCAAGAAGTTTCAAGTGTAGTATTTAGTTTTATTTTGATTATTTTAGTAGGCCTGCAAGCTCAGGTATGGGCATTAAAGATGTGCAGCGTCGCGGCTGAAAGAACGGAGCGAATGGTATGTATTGTATGGCTGTCACCTAGTTATTAAACGAATTCGTTACGAATCTACCTTGAAAGGGGATGGTGGAATAGCATTGTTTGTTTCCTGTTTGCATTTCCGCTCAAAGGGTCCCTAATCAGTTCCCTTACTGCGAATGCTGATTTAATGGACGCGCGCTATTGCAGTTCTTACAGTGTTTACACTCCCCGGCAGTGCATTGAGTTGTTCTCTTGCGTTTTTGTGCACTCAAGCTTTGTAATATGTCAAGCTCAAGCTTTCATTCCAGGGATAATCAACGATAGATCATTGTTAATTTTTGGGTTTATGGCGTTAAGCAGGTGGGATATCTCCAGCTTCGTCTTTGAAATGTTGATTAATGGTCGTTTCAGTTCAGAGCTCGAACGTTCTGCGACACGAAAGAGGGGGAGGTTTTGTCCTTCTTCTCTGTGTTTGTGAATGGAGTAAAATGGGTGTATTTTTACTCTCAACCTTGAAGAGTGTAGCGCGTGCCTTTCAGAATGAAACTGAAGTTTGTCAGGTATTTCAAGCTTTCATTAAGAGTTCACTCTAATGTGTTTCGGTTGTCGTTACCATCAAACATGAAGAGGACATAAAGTTTGATTCGTGGGCGAGTTGAAAAAGTTGTATCTTTCACAATTTTATCGTCTACTTCTAGCTTTGTGAACAGGTTTTGTATTTCAGATGATTTTTAACCTTGAATGGTTTTCGCACTTATCAGAACCAAAAAGTCTTTTTTCCTATCTGGCGTTGGAGTTCTCAATTCAACGAAGTAAACAGTAGTAGTGATTGCATGAACATCTATTATTTTCACGGTATGTATTGAAAAGAGTTGGTGTTGAGGTTAGTACTGAAATCTTTACTCTAAAATCTTCCACACTCGGTTGTTTAGGTGTTGCGCTGGAGGGGTTGACACTTTGTACTCTAAGTCGCTACATTGGTGGCGGATACTAGATCCACAATCGTCTCCACGGACGCTACCTCCCAATTAGTTATGTCAATGGAACCGAGTAAATGAGAAAAACCATCTTCAACGGAGTGTCTGTTTTTGTGCGAAAGCTTAGCAATACTTTGTTATTCATCCACGACGACCATAAAGTGGAAGACGTTTTGTTTGCGCAAGATTGTCAAGTGCTTTTGAGTATAGGATGCATTTGTAGGTGATTGTGTAGAAAGACAAGGATATCATGAGGAAGAAGTCAACGCGGGCGGCTTCCGTGGTGAAGATCCCGCTTGAAACCTGCTGCCAGCTTGAGACGCTTTCCTATTCGACTCTTGAAGGGGACGACTTCGCTGAGGGCTTTGAGTTGCCACCCGAGCTGCTGCACGTATCCTCTCCCGTCAAGGACCTTCCTTGCCTCTGTCTGTCCAGACGAAAATCTCTCAACAATTCTCATGCGAAAAGTTTGCTGACAACCTCCAAGTCCACAGTATCCCATCGAAAATCAGTCGAATCCGCTCTACCGTTCTGTTTAGGGCCAAGAAGGCTGCAATCTGTCAGGAGTTCAACCAACCTCGTCTCTTCTTCTGGAACGGGTACATCAGTGCCGGTGCCATTTCCATTACCTCCGCGGCTGGAAGCTCCCAAAGATAAAGTTCAACACAAATCAGGACCACTTTCAATGTCAAGGCATTTATTGAAGGAAGGGGTGATGCTATCAGATCCAGCTACTGGGGTGAAGATCAAGAAACATCTTTCAGGACCTCTTCCAAGCATGCAGCAGAAACCCATACCTGGGTTGCCACCACCATCACCTTCTACTGCTAAGATGAATTTTGTTGGAGGCTTATGGAACAGGGGCGAGAAGCCTAAGTTTCTAGGAGGTGATTTACGAAGTCGATTTACGAAGGTGAAGCACTCCGCTCAGGCTATGTTTTCAGCCGTTGCCCCCGGCAAGCTTCCGGGGACAGTGGTGCAAGGGAGTCTGAAGAAGGCAGTACAATTGGCAAAGATTACTCCCGCTCTTGACAGAAAGGGATCGCGGGAATCTCGGGTTTCAAGAGATGACAGCAATCGTATCCCGTTCGTACTGATCGGGAGAAAGTCTAGAGCGACCACAGCAACTGCTCCGGCAGCTAAAGCTGCGGTTGATGATGTTGTATCTTTGTGTACGAGGGGTGATGGTGCACAATCCGCAAAGCTGGCTTTTAGAAACGTAAGGGCAAGGGTTAGCATCTGCCCAAATGAGAATAAGAGAATCTGTGCTGCTGTGAAAATCCAAGCTGCAATACGAGGCTACATGGCTCGTAGAAGATTTGCCAATCAGTTGGCGCAGGAGCTGACAGAGGGAGAGGTTGAGGAAGCATTGTCCCTTAGTACTCGAATGTCGAGAACGAATCCACAGAAGCGAGATAAAACTCTTGTATCTCGAGCCAAAAGAATGGAACAAGTGAGCAACAGCTGGAATGGAAGCCTTCGCACGGCGCAGGATTGCGAGGCAATTCTGAAAAGCAAGCAAGAGGCGACTATAAAACGCGATCGGGCGACGGAGTACGCATCGTCGTGGCAGAATCGGAAACTATCGAGATCACCGTCCATGAAAGCATCTGCGTTGATTGTGGATAACACGTTTTCGGATAAGTCTAGCTGGGTTTGCAATTGGCTGGAACGCGCTGCAAAAATGGGAGCGCACAGCTCGCCGAACCGAATATTTGACAACGACATTTTTGACAACGATGAGGTATTATGTGAAAGTGTCTCGGCGAAGAGCTTGGTTGGAATATGTACCACCAACATTGGGGGTGCCAGCGATATGGACCAAAAGTGTCCGATGACATATCCATGGCCCGTCTCTCTGCGGCAACAGCATGCTGCAGGGTTGTTGCAACCAAAGACACCTCCACTGAAGAAACGCATGCATGGAACTTCAAAAATTCCTCAGCAAAGTGATTTACAGCTCAAGAAGCTTCACCAGACTGAAGATGTACTTTCCATGGCTAAGAGTTGTAGCACAAGCCAGATAAACAATGAATTGTCAATCAGCAAACCAAGATACGGCATTCGACACCTTAGGTTCGCTAAAGTTGATGTAAAGCAGAATTATAATTGGGAGAGCGTTGGAAGCTGTGCTGGACCAATATCCAGCTTGAGCCGCCTGCCCCCTTTTGCGAACCCGAAGCCGAGGTCTCCGAGTGGTCAGCAGCTCAGGTTGCCGAACTCAGGGATGTCAAAAGAAGCGATTAAGGTCCGCCCTCAAGCGTATAGACGTTTGCAAGAGGATCATGTATCAAGGCATATTGATTTTGCTCTTTCTGACAGTGACTCAGCTGCAACTACGGCTGCATCATTGCGGCGGCCGTTCTGGCGACCCTAAGGATGGATTCTTCTAGACCTTCAACGCATGTGCTTGGGTTGTAAATGACTGCAAGCGCTGTAAACGTTCGCAGGTTCGTTTCTTCTCATTTATCGAAGCATGAATTCTTAGCTTTGCTTGCACCCCATGTTCGCTGTGAGCAACGAGGCTCTATTTCCTATTCGACCCGGCAACACCCGCTCCATGGGCCATGTTGAAGTGCGCTCTTGTAGTTTTAATTACGATAAAATTATTGAAATTATCTTCTGATCCATGCTTGCATGTTTAAGTCTAACTGGATCGTGTCTCCCCAAGCACTGCGTGTGAACTGTTTTCATCTCTAATCTTCTTTAATGTGCATGATACATCTAGTGTAAACACTCCCAAGAATGAGAGGCTAGAGATGCTGCTCTTGATTTACCACAGTGGACAGATGTTTTAGTTCGGCTCCTCTAAGCTCAAATTGCTGCAAGGTACTAAATTGTCCTGTTCGCTTCCATGTGACAAAGCCAGACCAGATTGGATAAGAGAGCGCAGAATTGAAAGCGCGGTGTGTAAGGAGACCATCGAGAGGTATTACATTCCAAAGGACTAGAAATATCCACAAATGTCATGCTCTGAACGCTAAGAAGTTCTACTGTATGGGGTTGTGACCCTGTGGCATATGCAAGCTTCTTAACTCTGATCTTCGACGGAGAATGATAAAGATTTAATCACTGAAGCGGGAAGGAGTACTTGTACTGCTTAGCGCCTGTTGCTTTATCATTGTTTACCAAGCTCAAGGGCAAAACTTTTCCACGACAAACTGCTGAAGCTTCTGCTAGCACAGCTGGTGTAATATTTTTTCCTTCGAAACTTAAATCATCCTTCTACCTATGAATATGGCTCTTACTCAGGACTGAATGTATGACCTACCTAGCTCTCCTTCAGAGAATGTTGCTCCAAGGATGACCCTACTCCTCCGTGTGCCCCACTACCATGGCTCCGATTTGAACAGTTCTGCAACGGCAGCGTACGCCGGAAGGTTGTTTACTCCTAGTTTAGGTCTCTCCTAATCCAGGTTAGCAGCTCATGGCTTTCCAGAGTTGGCCTTTTCGAAGAAGCAGGAAACGAATGCTGTGGAGAAGGCGTATTCGGCTGAATCGGTGATCAATCGGTGCACTACAAGCTGCAATGCACAAGTTGGCATTGACTGGATCGAAAACTTCATGTGTATGCCTTGAGCTTTGATCTTGTGATAATGGTACGCAATTCCAACTCTCTCTCTCTCTTCACTCGCGTACCTTCATGACTAGTCATCGTCCTCCGCTCTGAGATAGGAAATGATAATTTCGAGAAATGAAACCTCAGAGACAATTGTTTTAGGATCGTCAGGCAAGCAGACCTCTGTATTCATGAGGCTCTTCAACTGATTTCTATTGAGATTCAAACTTACGGAATTTGGGCAGAATTGTGTTGAAACAAATCGCTTTTGATTAGTCATCGTCCTCTGCAGTATTTTAAAGTTACAATCATGTTTTGAACGGTGTTTGTAATAAACTGGATTGTTCATGCTTTGATATTACTAGAAAAATAATGAAAGAGCTCAGAATGGTTCCAGCATAATCAACATGAATACTTCATTGCTGCTTATCACCACTAAAAATATGCACGTATGAACACTATTGTAAGTAATCATGCTCTAAAAGGCTCTTCAAAGATTTTAAAGAACGTTATGACAGAAAGTGGGTCTAGCAGGAAAAATAAAACCCTTCTTCTAAGAGGAAACGTTAGATTATGAAGTGGAATATTTTCACCTAGTAACACTTCTAAGATTTATTATTTGAAGGATCGAAATGAAAATTTCATTAAATCGAGCATAAACCCAAATTACTTGAACGATAAACTCGAATAAAATGCTCAGGTAAAGACCCATACAGATCTTTAAGTCAATTGTTCCCAAACACCTAAACACGGAATCGCAGCTTTCATCACTTCCACTCTAAATCATTCGATCGATCTACTTCTATCACTTGGTTAAGTCCCACGTGCGTCACATAGTTCTATACGCTATATCATGTACGTGGCGCAAGAAAATTCCAAGTGCCATCACACAAACCACTTCTAAATCTACGAACGAAGTAACTTAAAATTCAAAGCGAGGATAAAAACCAACGTCACTACCTCAATGGCACATCTGGAATATCCATACAAGCAGGGAGAGCCAAATAACACGCATGGAGAATTATGGCACAACCTTCAACTTCTCGTATTTAAAAAAACGTTTTATATTAGGATCGAATATTCAAAAGGAAAAGACAAGTTCGTCGAAACAATACACCACCACTCGGGCACAAGGTGCGCTTGCTAATATTATTCGGTGTACACAAAGAATATTTTTTACAAACCTAGCAGGAGCCAACTGACCTTCAGCCAGACTCTGCTTTCTCCAGCGGCAGCATTTGCTTTCACAACGCCTTAACTTGCAGTTGCAGATACTTTTCCCTTGGTTTGAGACGAGTCTTTCTTGCTACTACCATTTGCGGCTGTAGGCGTCGCCATCACTGGTTGAAACTGCAAGAAAGAACTTTGAGCGATTAAACTATGAATTTTTGTTTCATGCTGGTGACTATTTTGGTCAACTTTCACCTCCTAATGTCGCAGGCAGCAGGAACTGGGTCACTAATGAAAAAGATTCACTAGAGACTTCAAGTAGGGCGTATGCGCAGCACGAGTACTAACCTGGTAAACAGAGTATATAACATTTCGCCGAATTTGAGCCATCATTTCCAGAAATAAGTTGTAACCCTCTAATTTGTACTCAATCAAAGGGTCTCGCTGAGCATATCCTCGAAGTCCAACAGCTTGTTGCACGAATTTTAAAGCTTGTAAATGCTCTTTCCAAAGATTGTCGGTTTGTGAGAGGACGAAGTATCGCTCAGCTTCTTCCATAAGCCCTGGAGCTTTCTCCGTCACAATTCTCTGCATTTGAAGCAACGTGCCGATCATGAGTGAAATGATGCACGCGGTCCTCATACTGAACAAAATCTTAAGGCTAACATCTCAACGTCGAACTTCATAGAATCTGGCATCACCTTTTTCTCGACATATGCCTCACGGCCCCGCATGCGAAGATAATCACCAAGACTATCATATGTGGGGCACTTCTCATTCAATAGCTCAGGTGTCAAATCCTCCAGCAGGTAACAGTATCTACAATACAGGGAATAAAAGTGAGAACAAAAATCTAAAATCCACGGTCTCAACGGACATACAGGAAATTCGTACGAGTTTCACAAAGTACCACTAACTCGCGTTGATTGAGAACCCCAAACCAACGGAATAACAAAAAAATAAAAAATAAAAAAATAAAAAAATAAAACACACACACACACACACACACACATATTTGAATGAAATGCAGAAGAAGGTAAACAAGAGATAAAAGCGAAAAATGGTGCGGGTTCAGATGACTTCTAAGGCTTGAGTCTTACTGCTTGACTTTTGCACATAAAGCTTCTAAATTCCATTCTTCCTGAGGAAGGGATGAGTCCACGTTTGCCTGCATCATCACATCATTCATTACCTTACAACTTCCCAGCAGAGAACTATCCAGAGACACTTTGGATTACTGAGGAATAATTTTTTTTCGATACAAACAATAGTTGTAACACCAACAGTAAGGAAACGCGTACCTCCAGGATATCATCCATTGTCAATTCTGCATATTCAATCATTTGTGCTTCTAAGTTTGTCGCCTCCAAAGCGCGCCGACGTTCGGTGTACACCCGGTCACGTTGACTATTTAAAACTTCATCATACTCAAAGAGTTGCTTACGGATGTCAAAGAAATAACTCTCTACCTTCTTTTGAGCTTCATCTAGAGACTTTGTAAGCATTTTTGACTCGATAGGAAGATCTTCAACCCTAAATGCTTTCATTAAGCCCTGCGCCATCCGAAAATATCCATGAAGCATGCAGAAGTTTCAACAACATAGAATCCGAATTCAATACTCTTCCTGGATTGACAACCTCCTGACTAACGTGACCCCAAAGATACGGATTACATCTCACGATGTTCTTGCCTTGAGAAAAAAAACCGAGGACAAAGTTTGCTACTTCAGTCTATTTATCATTCCAGTTCTAAGCAAGCATTAATGTATTGTCCTGATTAAAAAAATTCTCCTAAAGCACGCTAACCGAAGCCATGCTCGAAAGAGTGAAACAAAAGACTGAACCCATCCGATAACGATTGGAGGTTTCAAGCGGACATGAAAATCAACACTTTAAAAAGTAATATTCCGTCAATAAAGATCTTCCTAACAGCATCGTAAATCAATCAGAGATGTACGTCAGTTTCAATAACGGAAATGAATAATCTAAGTGGATAGTGTACCAATCAAATGAACTGGTTTTTGCAGATATAATTACCTGTATGCGATCACCACCAAAAATCCTAAAGATGTTGTCTTCCAAGCTTAGGAAAAATCTAGTGCTTCCAGGATCTCCTTGACGACCACTACGACCCCGCAGCTGAAGATAACAGAAATGACTTGTAAAGAAGTACGTTGAAAATGAGGAAAAGAATGATTTGTATGCTAAATGTAAATAGCATTGCACTCGATACAACTCAACTCAACACACACAAACAGTTAAAACATGTACTATAACAAGACTTTGGAAACGGATTCTTAATCAGTTAAACTAGCAACTCAATAGCATTGTGGTCTTCGTGCAAATTCTGCCGTCTTGACTCACATTTTTAGAAACGTGGTTATTAAACCAATGCTTTTTCCTAGTTAATATCTGAAAAATTACCTGATTGTCAATTCGCCTTGATTCATGCCTCTCGGTGCCAACCACATGAAGTCCCCCTGCCGCTACCACCTTCAGAAAACATGCCATGTTTAGTCATTGTTGTAGTTTAGTTAACGTAAGAAGTTATTGTCAAGATTGTACCAGAATCTTGTTAATGGAATTGAGAATAGCAGAGAGCAGAGGTTTCGGAACTAAAGGGTGAACTAACGCATATCTTCGCTCATGACTTCATCTCTTCAGCACCAGCTATTATCAGCTTCAAACGGATAATAAATGACACACTTAATTATGTCTACATCTTATCCAAGCATTTCATGAGATTCAGAGTGCCGTCCATTGCTTGAATGAATTTCTCTGGATTATTAGAAATTCTCTCATGGCTATGTACCTTTTTCTTCTCTTCATCGGTATAAGTCTTGTACTCCGACAGAATAGCTAGGTTGGCCTTACGTAACTGTGCCACTACTGGATCTTCAGTTGGACCCTGCAGTATCAAATCATATTCATCACTCATAAGTCGGTATTACGTTGAAACCTTTCTCAAATTAGAAATTGAAGTGTAATCTAAAACCTGATTGTTTCACCATCCATGGTGATGCCATTTTCTTAAATTGAAACTGAATATCACTATGTTTATAAGTGCGGCCTGATATTACCTGCAGCCACTTTTATCAGGATAAGAAAATGTGAATCCATTACAGACCTCCCAATGTGTACAAATTAGAGCTCATTTAACTTTCACAAAAAAAAAAAAAAAAAAAAAAAAAAAAAAAAAAAAATACCCGTTCACAAGCATATGAAAGCCGATCTTCAGCTTCCAGTTCGGGCAGCGCTTTTTCTCCCCAAGCATTCACGGCAGCTTCAACTGCTTCCTCTGCCAGTGTTGCGCAATCATTTGACAGCTCGCAAGGGAACAGGCTTGGATTGACCTGAGAAACCAAACTGGGATAGTAAGTGGCTACGATTAGAATAGACACGTGTAACTTTCACCAAAACACAGATGATTTACCAACTGCCAGATGTGTCTTTTGAGCAAAGTTATCCTTCCTTCAGAAAACAATACCATTCAACTGAAGCTCCAAGCATCAGAGCTATTTCTAAGTAATGGCGATGCAATGAAGCACCGAGTGCATGGTGACATAAATTGGGAAAGGCAACATACTTGCAACATTAATAACGTATGAATATGCAAACATCGTACATACCTTCCATGTCTTCTTGGTTGGTAATTTCTTGGTTTTTTGGAAGGGGATTTCCTCGTCACTCAGCCTTACTACCCTGTTGCCAGCATGAAAAAGAAAAAAAAGAGAGGAGAGAACAGATGTCATTATTGGTTTGAGTTCTTCATTTACATTTTTCTATTGAGCATAACATGAGCAGCAGGAACTAGAATCCTAGCCAGCAAGAGACCTTGAAAATATAATGGTGCCAAAGTGACGGATGCAAATTGTAGGATAGCACGGTCAACTGCATAGTGGATGATGCTAAAAACCACTTCACACTAGGCTGGGCACCATAACAACCTCCAAAGAACCTAGATTGCTCATAGTAAGGCTAACAAAATAAGACGTGCTGATGCCGGCCACTAGCATAGGTGATCAAATCGGCAATAGAAGGTCACCTCTGATGTTGTCCTCTTCCAACGTCATTGGGAACACGCTAGTTCCTCCAGTCACATAGTGCTAATGAAAATACTTCATTAAATTCAGAAACCAAGACTCTGACGACTCGATAGGTAATGGAGAAATGAATTACCGAGGCATGAGCATTTCTCGTAACTTGAGCCGGGCCATAAATTCGGCGTTTCCTCCCAATATAATGTCGGTACCACGACCAGCCATGTTCGTAGCTATTGTCACGGCTCCTAAGCGCCCGCTCTGTGCAACAATTTCAGCTTCTCTTTCGACGTTTTCTGGTTTCGCATTCAGTACCTGCAAGGAATCATCTCAAACATTCAGTGGGAAGCTTTAAAAAAAATGCACCGTCTCTTCTGAATTAGAGTCTGGCCAGCCTCCAGGTTCCCTTCTGCGCACGAAATTATTATGATGATTAGCTAGAAAATTAACCTAATCCTAATTCTAAAATTTTTAGGTGATTCGCGCCTACTTAAAAGAACACGAATGTCACCTGATGTGGAATTGACGCTTCAGTTAGCTGTGCAGAGAGTGATTCGCTTTGCTCCACACTGGTCGTCCCAACCAAGACAGGTCGGCCGGTTTTGTGCATACGAGATATCTCCACAACAGCTGCTCGCCACTTGCCATTTACAGACTTGAAAACTACATCTGACTCATCCTGTCAAGTCTCACATATCCTATCAGAAAACTAAACGGAACCTTCTCATCTTTGGAAGGAAAACTTGGATATAGGAAATCAATTGCAACAAATAAGATAACAAAATAACAAAAGAAATACCACTCTATTTGTGTGATAAGACGACAATTATACCTTGCGAATCATGGGCTTGTTAGTGGGCACTACTGTGACCTTCAGTTTGTAGATTTTTTCGAATTCGTCAACTTCAGTGGCTGCAGTTCCTGTCATCCCGCACAGTTTGGGGTACTGCAAGCACCATTATATTTTCTGTCAGCATCACAGAAAAGAGACCACCCAAGTATGTAATCGGAATATACGTACATAATTTGCTCGCTGTAAGATTGCAATGTTGGGAACATGGTTCAAAGCAAAGCAATTATACTTTTAAAGCAACATGTTTATAAATTTGAAATATTGCTAGCTTTCTCACTTAGACATAACATTAGCAGAAATCCATGTTAGACTATGGAAATACGCACGGCAATCTAAAGTAGATTCATATAAAACAGAACCAGACGAACAAAAAACAAAAAAATGTGCAAACGGGAATTAAATTTAAATTCGTGAAGGCAACAAATCTATGGAAACTCAATTGCTACCAGTTGTGTAGGAAGATGGTGATTTCGTTACAATACCTGAAGGAAGAAGTTTTGGTAACTGATGGACGCAAGTGTGACTGTCTCATTTTGAATTTTAACACCTTCTTTGGCTTCAACAGCCTGATGTAACCCATCGCTCCACCTCCTTCCCTATAAATTTAGACACAACGACTAATTTAGCCCAATTTTACTGTATCCTACTATCAACCGTGTAATCAAGGAGATCGAAGCAACGAAAAACTTAATACAACTATTTCTTATGCAGCTTCTCCGCATGACGCGTGCATTTTATTTGCATGAGCCAACAATAGGTAGCAAGAGATATTCACTTCAGAGAACATAATAATCCTATCAGAGCACAACTAGACGTGTTACACACCAGCAATGATAAGAAAGATGAGGTTCAGTATGTATCTATACGAGCAGTACCTGCATCACTCTTCCAGTGAACTCATCAACTATCATAACATCCTGGCCCCGAACAATGTAATTCACATCCTTGAGGAACAACTCCTTGGCTTTAATAGCATTAATGATATAAGAAGCCCACTGCTCCCTTGGATCGTAGAGATCAGTCACATTTAAGATTTCTTCAGCCGCCTCGTAACCGATCTCACTCATTAACACTGACTTTTGCTTCTCATCAACCTGCCACAAACGGGCGATCAGATTGAGTTAAAACTTGAGGTCGAGAATTTAATCTTGTGTATAACAAATTGTGACACCAAACATAAGTCGGAACTATTTATTAGAATATTGAGCGAAAATAAGAATGTCTCTAAATCGCTAGTTCATAGTCACAACTTGCAAGAGATACTTACTGTGTAATGGTAGTCACGCTGAAAGGCACTTGCAATCTTCGCTGCTTTAATATAGCGCTCACTTGGTTTCTCGGCAGAGCCGGATATGATGAGTGGAGTGCGAGCTTCATCGATAAGGATAGAATCAACTTCATCAATCACGCAAAAGTTGAAACCACGCAACACTAACTCCTCTTTGTTCTGCATCAATAGCAAGTGAATAAAGCTTCAGCAAACCAAACCACATTCGGATAAAATTAATACTACAAGACAAAAAACATAGCTTAAAGTCATGATTGTCAACAAAGGAGTTCCTGTATATTGAAACATCAAGATTGTAAATTTAGACTTACAGTAGCCAAGTTGTCCCGAAGAAAATCAAAACCAAGCTCACTGTTCGTTACATAGGTGATGTCACAATTATAATTAGTCCTACGCTCCTCTGGAGTCATCCCCTCTGCATCAAAGGTGACGTAAACGTGCCTCATGTTTGTCAGCATGATATCTCGATGAAGAGTCATTTTTAAGCCAGTTACAAATAGACACAAGGATACATCACAAAGCACAAAACAGTGTTATGAGATGTTCCCTTTCTCCTCTATCAAGATGAATCTGACTCGCGAAAAAGAAAGGTGAAACTCATACGTTGAATCAAGCCGACTCGAAGGCCCAAGAAACGATGAACTTGGCCGACCCACTCACAATCGCGTCTCGCCAAGTAGTCATTCACGGTCACGACATGCACCCCCTGGCCTGTCAAGCAGTTCAGAAATGCAGGTAGGACTGCAACAAGTGTCTTCCCTTCTCCTGTTCTCATTTCTGCAATTTGCCCTTTGTGTAGAACCATTCCTCCTGCAGAATTCGGAAATCCCCACCAGCAGAGACGATAAGTCCCACTCGTTTTCACTTGATTCACGCGGAATGGCAAGAATATGTACATACCACATTCGGGTGCTCAGCTTCTCCTCACTAACTACTAAGTGCTATATTCCTTACAATCAGAAAGCGGTGATCGTTCTTCAGCACGAATTTAAATTTCGCGCTTTAATGAAAACTGAGAAACAAGAAAAGGACAAAAAAAAAAAAAAAAAAAAAAAAAAAACGTCGGGCAAGAGGGGTAGCGACAAAAATACCGATCAGCTGTACATCGAAAGGCCTTAGTCCAAGAACCCTCTTCGAAGCTTCACGTACAATAGCAAAGGCTTCCTGCTCACACATTCAGACAAATCAGTCAGATATGTACTGATAGAATGGTCGATAATTAACATCCCAAACGTATCATAAAATTCAACAAACGACAGGACAGACTTTTGTATGACTTAGCATCAACGGGTATAATTCGATGTTTCATGACGGAAAATGAACGAAGTACGAATTGGGGTATATAATTAGGGTAGAGCTTGAGACACTAACAATCCAAATTTACAACTACACGTAGAGAAAGCATTAAGCCGAAATTATAAAAGGATTTCAATACTTCAATCGATGCCAGACTACGTCTATGAAAAACAGCTCTTATGCATTTGATAAAAATTGCTATTTGACCACTCCAAACGTGTGGCAGCTCTCAGCGGAGTGCTAGATCTTCATACTTTCCTATCTCACAAGGACATAGTGCATCACTTGAGTCCGAACAGCCTGCTATAAATTCACGTGATTATTTTGTAACTCATGTTTGCGGCTTTGATCATTTCCTAAATCGAATATCAACGACAAACGTGAACCCTAAAGAAGATGTCGATTCCAGCGCTTGCTGTTCTCGATTTCTTTTAAACCTCAATAAAGCTTCATAATCTCAATCTTCAGCTCTCCGATGGGAACCAATCAAGGCACCCGGAAATTCATGGTTCAATCCCAACTACATGAATGAAGGTTATTTACTCAACGGTGGTATTATGTGGCACCAAAACCAATAATTAACGTAGGTTATCTGCTCCATGACCATATTCGCAATTATACATTCTGCCAATTGCCGACAAATTCGAAAACAAGCACAACAAAATTCCGCTGCACACATTGAGAATAGCAAGAGAATTCATACAGGCAGTAAAGAATCCAAAGACTCTCCGCCGCGAGACCGACTCTGCAACTGCGAGGTGCGAGCCCTAAGTTCATCATCGCTTAAACCCAGCATCTCTCCTTCCAAGGCGTTAACCTGCGCCACTTGACCCGAATACATCTGTCTTGCTGCCTCACCCGTGTCTGCTCCCTTAAAAATTCCACCAAGGAAACCTCCAAGACCTGCTCTCGGCGCACAAACTGTCCCGGCCTCCCTCCGCCTCCCCTCATGACCACGCCGCGGGGGAAAAAAACCTCGTCTCCGTCCAGTAAATCCAGAGTTCGCCCCACCGGGGACGGTATTCGAATCGCTGAGACGCCCGCTGTACGAGAATCCTGATGGCGAGGCTCCCGAAGGGGATTGACTGAGCGTCAGAGTCGAACTTGTGCGTGAGAGAGGCGATTGTGAGCTCGTTGGAGATGAGCTGCTGTGTCCCGATATGTTGGCCAGTTCGCTGCTAACCAGCGCGGCCATCGTGTGAGCTGCCATTGCTGCAGTGCCGCAATCGTAAGACGAAAAAAAAAGGAGCAACCAGCACAATTCAACAACCAGTTCTCTTACACAAAATTCTCTTGGTTCGAATTGTAGCTCTGTTGATTTGTGGCCTTCGTTGTTGCAGCACAGCATCCACCATAGCCAGTGAACCTCAACTTCGAGCTCCTCGGAGAGAGACGACGCTTTGGATGAGCTTTATCCATATGGATGAAAAAATACAGGATAGATGGATGGATAGATGGATGGATAGATGGATGGATAGATGGACTTGACCGTTTTCGACGAACAGAGTTCAGCGGAATGGTTTCCCTCTTCATTCATCCTTTGCCTTAAACCTTTGGGTACAATACTCTCAATTACAAATTAATCCAATTCATTCTTTCGTTTTATTTTTATTTATTCTTTCCTATTCCATGAAATTATATATAAGATTTTTTCTATGTTTTAATATTCAAAATAGCAAGAAATATTGTACAAGCACATGTGACACAACATAGGTATGAAAAAATGTTAAAAAAGATGTCTGAGTAAAGGTATAGAAATTGGACACGTTTCTAGAGAAACAAATATTATTTCTTGCTTTGGGGAGTCGGGTGAAGCTATGTTGGATGTCTAGGTCACTTTGTTTGTTGATATTGTTTGGATCTGATTTTTTTTTCTTGGTTTTTTTAAAAAAGAGGATGACTTGAAGAAATTTATGTGTATGTGTTTTGGCTATTATGTTTAAGCTTTGTGTATGTACAATACATTGTGAATATAAAATAGAAAAATTATACGGTAATTATAGAGTACCTTTTTTAAGAATGTGGACCAATTACAATCATATAGTCAATTCAAAGAAAAGGCTTGGAAGTTGAAAAAAAATTACATTATTAACCAGAGGAATTGTTTTTTTTTGTTTTGTTTTGTTTTTTTTTTGCAATATATACTTAAAAAGTTAGGTAAAAATTTATCCAATTGTGATTTTTGCATCTTCATTGATAGAAGATTCATTATACTTTATTTGGTATATTAAAGACTATAATGAATGTCTAAATAATGACTTTAATGATTATCATATTTTTTTTATTCTGATTAATAATTTTTGTTGTTAAGAAAAAAATATATATGTTGAGGTTTTTTTTAGGGCTAAAAAATCCCTAAGATTGGTTAGATTAATACCCAGGGATCAACCATTTGTGAGACAAGGTCGAAATCAGACCTCTAGCCACAAAAATGACCACTTAGGATAAAATAAGGAAGCATTTGAAGATTGGCAATTAGGATTAGAGAGCTAGCTTAGAGCTTATTAAAAAGATGTAAGGTTTTTTTTTGTAGGATTTGATTTGACTTAGCAATTATTGTTCAAAATCAGGGTTTATATTTATGACTTGGGATTTATGCAATACAATTAGGGCTAACAGTCTTAGATAGTTTGTGAAATTAGTATCACATCTACAGTTCAAAATTTGAAAGTGCTTGATTAATTGGGTGTACTGAGTGTGTGTAAAATTTTGTGATAATTTAATAGTACAATTGAGAGATATTTGGGTTTTGGTACAAGAAGGTATCAGAAGTTGGCAATTTGAGGTTAGGTAGGGTTTTTATGATATCTAAAGATCTACTAGTTGTATCAAAGTGAAATTTGGCATAGTATTAGAAGACTTGAAGATCAAGCCACATACCAATTTTAAATTGAAGTTAACAGTTGGAGAAGGAGAAATCACTACTAGAACATTTGCATCAATTTTCAAGTTGGCGGCTAAATAATATTACTAAGGTTTTTTGGCATTTTCTCACAATTTGTGAGTGGATTGGAGTAAATTCTTTTGATCACATAAAAGACTTATAGTAGAATTTTTGTGAAATTTTTTTCTTTAAGTAGACAGTTAGTTTAAGAGCTACAACTTGCTAAAGCTTACTGATTAGGGTTAAGGCTTACAAAGAAAAATCAAAATTTCCTAATTATGAAAGTAATAAGGCAATTGGATTTTATGTATGGTTGAAATTACTAAGAAGAGTATTTTTGAGCACTTTGTATTAGATTTAAGTACTTTTGAATTAAAATTCAAATTGCATTCTTCTTATAAAGATGAATCATATTAGGATTCTTGGATGCTTGTAAAATACAACCTCATATTCCACAACCAAATATCCAATGCATTCTCAAACAAGACAATATGTAATATGACAATGTATAATATATAGCTAACTTATTGACATAGTATTCAACCTACTAATTATCTTTAGACATATATAAAGATAAAATTGCATCTATATGTCAGAGGCATATATATTTATTTTAATAAGAAGTATTAGATAGAAGATAAATATAGATAGATTTGATATTATCTTTTGGCAAAGCTTCTTAAAATCTTCAAAGATTTATACTTGACTTTAGATGTGTTTGTAGTTGATTGATAGGTTAGAAACGAAGCCAATAAGTTGACTATATATTGCACATATTAGTAGCTTGTAAAACAAGCAAACTACATAGTAAACATATAAAAAACTTGCCTTATAAATTAGATACATGTCTCAGAAGTTGGACACATGTTAGAAGCCTTATAGAATATTATCACATAGCTTCAAATTAGATAACATATATAGAAGCAAGAGTGAAGCCTTATTCACTCTTGTCAATATTTTTTTAGTTCCTAGTTTAGTTCTTAGTCTAGTTTCAAGACTTTCTTATCTTTTTGTCTTTAGCAATAGCCATTCTAGTTTCAATACTACATTAGTTTTGAGTCACGTAAGAAAATATTAAATTTTTGATTCTTTGAGATTCATATCTTTGGCAATTTGACAAAAATTTTAACTTATTCTTTTTGTCTTGTTTTTAGAAGTGAGTAGACTACTCTACTTCTATTACTCTATTTTAGAAGTTATAGACTATATACCTTTAATCTAACATTTTAATTCTTTAATAATGATTTTTTCTTTAAAGATAGTAAACTATATCTTTTGTAAAAATTTTCATTCGATATTAGAGATTTCAAATTATTTTCTTGTAATTTGACTTATATATTTATTTGAGTTATTTATAGGAAAAAAATTTATAGATACTACTCTTGACAAAAGTGAGAATAAATTTGCAACCATTATAGATCTTCATAAGTTTTTCAATACTTTTAAGGTGGAAATTTCACATATCTCTAATATCAACTATGGAGATAGTATTCCAATGCCTTTAAAAGAGGTCAATAATAAAATTCAAAATCTATACTAAAAAATTATGCAATTGAAAGAAGCAAGAAGATCAAGTTAACAATTAAATCCGAGAAGTATAACAATTACAAATATGATAGAGGTAAGGATAAGTATGCCAAAGAAGTTTGATGGAACAAGATTAAAGTTTTGAAGATTACTACAATAAGTAAGATATTGTCTAAGGTTGCATCCTTTTCAATATGCTGATGGATTTATTCAAGTTGGATTCATATATACACTTCTCTTTCGAAGTGCTCTTTCTTAGTTTATATCTTTGATAGAAAAAGATTTATCACTATTCTATCATTTAAATTTATTTTTAGAATTTTTCATGACTATATTTAGAAAAAATAATCAAAAAAAGATAATAGATATCAAATTTGTATTTTACAACAAATATCATATTCAGCCACCATATACATTGTTGAATTCAAAAACCTTACTTGCAACATGGATTGGAATGATAAGGCCCTTATCAATTAATTTTAAAATGGATTAAGAGATAATATCAAAGATTTATTGTTGAAAATGCCAAAAAAAAATTCATTAGAGCAATTTATTGCTAAAGCTATTGTATACAATAGTTTATTCTTTGATAGACTATAAGAACAAGGATTTAGTTAGAGAGGTATAAGTCAAGTTATGGCAATAATTTTTAACTTTACAGAAGCTTATTCATCAAGACAAGAACTTATATAAATTAACGTGGTACATTTTAAATTTCTTATTAATCAAAAAAAGATTCAATTTTATAAAAAAGAATTATGCTTATATTTTGGAGAACCTAAGCATAGTGCTTAACATTGTTTGAAGAAGCAATGCAACTACAAAATAAGAAGCATGATTGCCAAAAAAGATAATTTCTCAAAAAACTAATTTCTCTAATTACAATAAGAACTATGCGATTGGAATCTTGTACTATACTTAATAAGGTCCTATCTTCTTTTTAAATCTTTCATCTTCTTTTACAGGAGAAATTTATTTAGGACCAAAAAATCAAAAAGTCTTATCCTTGTTAAATTCAAGAGCCTCATCTTATTTTATAGATAAAGATTTTATCAAAAAAAAGAAATATCTTTAGTTAAAAAAAACCAAACCTATACACATAGAAGTTATAGATGATTATTTGTTGTCTTTCAGAGATGTCACCTATAAAATTATTTTTTTAGATGTAGTAATTAGTAGTCATAATAGCTTAGTATTATTTAATGTGATTAAATCTCTTTTTAATCTAATTATCTTAGGATTATCATGGTTATAAAAATATAACTCTTAAATAGAGTGGATTTTTGATAACATTGATTTTTTTAAAAGTTTAGCCTAGGATTTTGGTAGACAAATAGAAATCTATAAGTCAAATACATCCAAACTATTATAGATAGGTGTAAGAGCATTTATACATATTGCAAAAAAAAAGATCAACTTTTATTATATATGATACACCTATTTTTAATGAACAATGGATTTCAAGTAGTATTCTAAGCTAATATAAAGATTATTAAGATATTTTTGAAAAGAAGAATACAAATATTCTTTCAAAGCATTGTTACTATGATTGTTCTATTGATCTTTAAGAAAGATCTCAACTACTATCTAAAAGGTGCTTTTAGTATAATTATGATGTATATGGATTATAAAAACCTCAATTACTTTATGTCGACATGTGTTTTGAATTTTTGCTAAGTTTGTTGGAGCATGTCTATATCATGATTTGATTTCAAGATCACTGATTAATTAAAAAATAATAATGTTAGTCTTACATTCTTTCTAAATATTTTTATCTTACATTAAAAGAAAGAAATGAATCATTTAATTAACAAAGAATGGTTCTCTTGAAGCCGAAGCATTTTCATCTTTGAGCAATAAAATCAACATTAATTGTTGATTTAACCTTTTTTAAGTAAGTTCAATCAAATTTGTTCTCTGATTCTCTTATTTATGATATTAAGAGTAATTCTTCTAAG